CAACATTAGGAAGCTGTTTCTGCTTGTTTTGCGCTCAAGTATCACACCAAAATAAATTGAAATTTTCTCTATTCTGTTGTGGGCGAAGAAATGACTTGTCCATATGTTCCTTTCCCACGGTAAGAGCTGTTTTCAGGCAGCTGTAGTCAAAACTAAACAAACAATTATTAACGAAGAATGCATTAATTGAGCTTAATAATGGAAGGGATCGTGTCATTATTATGTATGTAGCAGTTAAAACCTCATTAGCATATCTTGTGCATTTGTATCATACTCTGTACAGAAAGATTAGACAAAAGAAAAGCACGACACCATGTTAATATATTGTATGCTTTCTCGCTCGGAAGCGTAAGCGAGACAAGGCTGCCCTAAACACCTTGAAACAGCCAAGATTTTATCTTAAAAAGAAACGAAAAACGAAAAAGGTGGAAGCCATTTAAATGAAAGACTAAGCAGGTTAACCGGACACAAGCGATACATAATGATTTAAGTTGTCTGTGAATAGCTTTTGTGTTTGATTTTAGTGGCTCGGATTTTAAAACAAATTTTGCAAATGTGTTGACTTCTTTTCTATCAATTTCTTTACCCAAGAGGTGCTGTGTTCGACTTTAACAGGCCGGACTCCTTCTTCTTCCATGTCAGTTATATTTAGATACCAGAAACAAGTTATCAATTTAGATCAATACTATTTTCCATTTAGCTGAAACCCAATTATATAGAGGCACATCTATTACGGAAATTTTTTTTCGGCAATTTAAGAAGCTTATTATCGTCACGTTATTACAAGTATTACTTTTTTTCAAATTTCCCGAATTATAGTTTTATTTTCACGGAATATAGGCTTTTATTTTTACTCTTAGAAAAGCGAAACACAAATCATTAATATTGCCTTCCGGAGCGAGTAAACAAGTTTTTCGGCCCTCCACGCCACCAATATCTGATTGCAGTATATTTTTCTCTCCCTGAAATCGTCCGCAAAAATAAAACAAGCATTCTAAAGATTTTTCTTTTTAATAGAGCTCGAAATATTATCACCGTAGTGTTTTCTATTGTTCCGTTTAATGAAGTCACCTTTTTGCGGTTCTTATCGGAAAGTTTGATACGCTCATTGTAAAGTCGGTAAATTATTTAACTATTTTCCTGAGAGTTTTAATTATTGTTTGGTGTGAAGTACGTCCGGTGGAGAAAATAACCTGTATACTGCCGCCGCAGGAAACTTCATTTCTTTAATATGGCATTGTTTTGAACGAAGATGTTAAGTAACACTTGTGTATTGAAGCAATATAGAAGAGCAGTTATACAACTGTTTAAGTGAATTTTGACAGCGCTTTCGGACCATGAAGAAATTACTTGCGTGATAAATGAACGGTGATGAGCTAAATAAAAATTACATGTACATGTTTTTCGCAACTATTCAATAGATTTTAAACGACTGTGGCAACCATTCCGGTTATTTTCCGAAAGGAGGACGATTTTTTCCAGACAGATCCCATTGATCAAAATAAGAGCTTATAGAATAGCAGTCACCTTTGGCCCCGAATGGGAAAATAATGGAATAATTTGTATGCATTTTAACATTGAAAACAACAGCTTTTTAAAAGCTAAGATTTCCAGCACGTGTTGTTCAATTCTGGCACGATCCAAGCAGTTAAAGTGATTACGTTTTGCGAATTGCCATAACTAAACTCTTCTAATTGTACTGTCGACTTTGTTTTGACGTTGGTTTTAACAATCTTTGAAACGTTCATGTCCTGAAATGCAAAACCTGAACGCACGCGAGTGTGTTTACTTCAAAAGGAAGCTTAAGTTAACTTTTAAGCGAAAACGAGCGAAATTAGGCTTAGCTAAGAACTCATTTGCGGTGTACTTTATTAGAGTGTTTCATTTGCTATGAAATATGAAAGCTGTAGATATCTTGAAAAAGTCTCGAGATTGCCCGTTGGCGAAGCACATTTCGCGTGAGTAAACGACAAATTTGAGGTTTTAATCGCGAAATTCTAAGCCGCTTATGAGTAGAGATGATCCAAGAGGGTTCTACGGGGATTTACACCACCTATCGACTTTCCAACGCCCACAGAATTTCACGTGTAGGTTTAATTTCAAGAACTTTTACAGCAAATAACCGCAAAGTGTGATTACGATACGATTGTGTCTACACAACTGCAGTTAATTAAATATTCATATTTGGTAGAGAAAGGCCGAAGCAGTCTTCGATTTCCCTGAAAGAGAAGGCTAGTCGCGCTGGCAGCGAGGAAAACTAGCTGGGAAAACGGAAAATGCCCAGCACACCTGGAAAAGATGAACATTCGTGGTCAATTTCACGCTAAAATGCCTGTCATTTGCGGTTATGTGTGATTTCAATCTGTTTTATCCCCATAACGCATGCGCAGAACTTTAAACTTAACACCGAAGTAGTTTTTCACTGCAATCCGCACTTTTCTGCTTTCGCTGAAACTTTGACATCTAACGGGAGCTACCTTTTATAATTTAAAAAAGTTTCTTAAGGCACTTGAATTTCAGTCATTAGATCAATTTGAATAAAACATGAAAAAAACCCTCTTTTTTGCATAAATTTGCCGCATTTTTTGTTAAGTTTTTAGCGTTTTTCGTTTTTGTAACTCAGCGCTCGTGCAATATTCACTCGGCTCCGAAAGTGCCATTTGTAAAAGAAAGTTTATTATGACTTGCTTTATCGCAGTAATGATAAAATTTGCCTGTTTACATAATTACTAACGCTCAACGTGCTAGGTATCTTGTGTTTTTTGGCAACTTTTAAAAGCTTTTTACAAGACACAGTCAAATGTGTTGACATTACGACAAAACAATACTCTCTCTATCCATCGTTAATTAATATATTTCACATCACAAACAATTTTTTGCCGAAATATCCAATATTTTGCTGCTGTTTGGTTGCCGGAAGGGGAAGGGAGATACCAGGACGAAAAAGGGGGCCTTTGTGGGGATAGAAAATTTGCCAGCTCCCTCCAAAGGCAGCTAGTGAATGATAACTCCCTGATTATTCATTCATGATTTATTTTTAAGCCCAAGAAACATCTGCTTCTCCTATTTAAATCTCTACAAACAAAAGAAAAATCTAATTCACTGCATGGCGTGGGTAACACCTTTAATAAAAGATACAAGTTGAGAGCAGACTCCGCTCTTGAAATTCACGCTCGTTCTTGGAGACAATGGGGGTTATCTGAGGGGACTGCATCGTAAATGAGTTTGTATCTTCACTTCCTAGACTCTACTGACATGGAAATCTAGCAAGTAAGCGATTGCATGCAGCGGTTGAATACGCAAGGAGACGTTGACAATTGAAACAAAGATCTGAAAGAGTCAAATAATTGATCTTGGTTCAGGGTCTGCTTAATTCAGGGCGGGCTATACAAAACTCATGTGTCGTGTTTTCCGCCAATCAGCTCTCGTCTCCACAGGGTAGATATCGACCAGTGTCTTAATGAAAAAAAAGAGCTATTCACCAGCACGCAGGTTGCAACCAATTGTGTAAATCTTCGAACGTGTCCACACATAATACCTGTCTTCTTTCTTTTAAATGGGGCAGCTCTTGGAAATGGCTCCTCGCAGCTGCCTGTTGTCCTCTAAACAATACTTTCCCCGCAGCTGTGATAGAAATATGGCTCTTAGTCTCAGCAACGGGGACAGCATTTTGTATTGATAGGCCAGAACCGACACAAGCAATTACTTCGTCCATTATAGCTTTAATCCTCCACAGTAGATGTGTGTACCAATATCATTTAACTATATCTCCCTGATAAAGCGAATAACACGTTGAGGCCTCGTGCAAATACAAGTATCAAGACTCGTGGTTGATATTCACACCAATGGATTAAAAACTCGTTTGTCTCGCGCAGTTAGTGTAATAAATGCCATACCTGGGGATCTTGGGCAGTGTATATGACATTTATCAACCTGTTACTTGAATTGTACCTTACACCAAACACCCCAAGATCATTTACTGAGCCCATCCCACTTAGGAATGCTTATGTGAGGCACCTCTGCAGAACAAAGCCGCTTAGGTTGCGATTTCCCGCAGCTCAGAGGGTGTGACACCCCTTAAATACCTCACTGCACAAATGTTTTCGTTCTAACCCATAGAAGAGCAAACACGTCTGCACGTGTGGGTAGACATGACTAATCGATAAGATCAAGTGTTCATTGGTACAGACCCACGTTTTCTCTTAGGAAACCCGACAAGTTAACCTGAGTGTTTCGTCTGTTGGTGCCGTGAGGTCTGCAGTACCCAATAGACCTCCTGGGAAACAAGATTACAGATCGATTCCACAGGAGTCTTTAGAAATCTGATAACGTTGTTCAACACACGAGGGGCACACAAGACAAAGTTGAACTCCCGTTAGGTGAACCCTTCAACGAGATTACACAAGCGTTTTGTAGATTGAGTCTTAATTGAGATCAACGGAAGAGAACGCGACCCGTTTTCGAGCGGATCACGTTTTATGCACCTCATTAATTTTTAATTTCCAAAGAATCCTGAAACTACGAAAAGTCAAGCAGTTTATGCAAATGAAGTCTCCCGCGCAGAACTAGCACATTCACTCTTTTGTTAAACCCCAATGTAATAAAAGACTGAGCGTTTATCCCCACAACGAATTATATTTTTTCATAAATTTACTTATCAAAGAGATTATACCACTTAGAATTCCCAACAATTAAAACCAACAGGCAGTGACGAATTCAATGTCTTTTAATATACAAACTCTCAATGTGCTTAGCTTGGAGCAAAAATTTACAAAATATGTTTTTACAGAAACCGAACGCCGTTGAAACAGGTTTCATTCGCATTCTTTCTCGACAGAAGATCGAGGCGACTTGACAGCATTGGTCTGTAGAATAGCATTTTTTAGAAGAAAGTTAAAACTTCGTTCGAGCATTCAAATATGTTACATTCATGTTTTTCTCGTCCACTAGTTATAATTAAAAAATAATTCTACCTCTGCTAAAATACAATTAAAGTCCAATTTTTCCCTGCTTTGACGTACAGTTTAATTGAACAACATTTCCTTAAACTTACAATGGCGAGGGATACATTGAATTGTTATGAATTCTAGGGTCTTCGGGGGTCCAGATTTTTGCCTTCATTATACTGGAGGGTAATTTTGGCTTCTTCGAGTCTGTCCATGATAAGGAATGCCCTGTTAATGGAGGAAGACCGTATTCTTGAGTACCTGCCAGAAGGTAAAACAACAAGAAGAAAAAATGAGCAAACATGAAAACATAAATAAAAGAAATGATCTTGAAAAAATGTGTGTGGATTTTTCCTCGTTCGCACTGCACGGCTTTAGGGAAAACATATGTTTGCTTTACGGGAATTTGGCGCAAGAAAATTACAAGATTTCCCTCAATTTGCAGCTTATAAAATGCAAAAACATTACCAAAACGTCACTTTATTTATTAGCTATCAGCCCTACATGTATGTGAGAACTTCCCAGATGCGCGCAAACTACATACTAAAGCGACGTATTCAGATGAAAATCGCTCACACTTACCGAAGCCCCTATGGCAGATCATGACTTTTCGCGGTTGTTCTGAAGATGTTGGCTGTAGTGCTTGGCTGTGGCTCATGTCCGAACTGATCATTTCCGTGAGAAAACCAATATAACCGATAGCAAGCCGCAATGTGTCGACTTTAGAAAGTCTCTTCTCGTAAGGTAGAGTCGGTATGTGATGCCGAAGTCCCTCGAACGCTTCGTTTATGCTCTGCATGCGTTTCCGCTCGCGCAGGTTTGCAGCATGTCGTTGCGCGATTTGCTGCGTTGGGGATTTCCTCCTTCGCTTTCGTTTCAAGTTCTTGTCATGATGCTCCGCCGAGGCGTAATGAAACTGGCTTGTGATTTGTGTCTGGCTTTCACGGAATGAGATCGGGCTCTCCATCTGTTAACGATTAAGATTTTCCTTCGGGAGACTTGAAGCTCGTGAAAGGCTTTAAATCTAACTAATGGTTTCGTGGGCACACGTTTCTTACAAGTCGCCCGGCTTATAGCCATTTTTAGGCAGCCAACGAACCAATCACGAGCGAGCATGAAAAAACAATCACTCGATACAAGGTTTGTGACACTTCCTATTGTGCGAGGCATCCTGCCGACTACAACTAAGTGAGAGTTAAACGTTTAATAAAACTATGTAAAAACTTACAATACACGACGAAATTTCATAACGCTTGATTTGCGTTTAAAAAGCAGCAAATGAGACATACATGATGTCGAGAGGATGCAACCTGCTGCCGTCGCGTATTGTTCAGAGCTTAGGAAAAGCCTAATTTTCTTGAATCGAATCAAGATTTTATTGGAAGCAAGATCTATTGCCTCTTTTTTCGCTTCTCTTCCAGATTTTAGCATCGATCACGAAGTCAGGTCAAACAATGAATATCTTACTTAAAATATGGTAACTAAAACGCTACAGCCCGGAGTAACCTCTTGTGACTTCGAAACCGTAAACAAAGTTCTTTCGCGTTGAATGACAAGGTAAACATGAATAAAAACGCGAGACGTCTCCTTGTTAAAACAAAGCAATCGCAGAGCAAAGAGTTCAGCCGAGGACGTCAAACGAAAAACCAAGCATTTCAATTGGCAAGTGGTCGGGCAAAAATTCCCATCAAATTGTTCTGACGTCATCTGTTATGCGACAAACAAAGGCAGAATGAGAGAAAATGAAAAAAAAAAANCACACACACACACACAAAAAACAAAACAAATGTTGATTCGGAGTCTAGAACAAACTTTTTTTTATTAACCACGTTTTTCTCGCCTCGATCCCTCTTCTCAAGCCTCGAATGTCCTTCTTTGTATCAAAAGTCGATTTTTTGAGCGTTGCGAAGGATCCTTCTCCGACCAACGAATGCACATTTCTCTGAATTAAGTTAATTTGGATGCAGAGTTGTCAAAAATGAATTTCGTATTATTTGTCGACCGTGTAATGGCAAAGCATCCAATCTGTTATTTCCGGACAACGTTGTTCTGTTAAACGGCGAGTTGCTGCAAATGTGACGGGATATTTTTTGTACCATGTTATGTGAATTACACGTAAAGGGCTTCATTAAGTATGGCCGATGCGCAACTGGTGTTGAGGAAGATGTTTTTGAGATTTCTAAGGTGAACAAAAGGACAGCGCCAGGCGAGTAAATAATGTATAAAAGATAATAAACTGAACGAGATTGCGGTATTGTATCGAAACAGTGGAGGAAACTATTGTTACGAACCTTCACTGCTATTTAATGTCGTGTTCCAAACTTATTGTAGCCTCAAGCCAAATTTTCAATAGGTCCTGATTAGGGGGTGAACTGTCAAAAAGATACTTCGCGGGTAAAATGATGTGATGACACTGTAGTTTAGGACCAGTTAATTAATTCTCTTTATTCGCAGAAAAATTTGTCTCTATCAGTTCCATGTAGGACAAATTGGACAGGAGATCGCTTTTACAGACAATTAGAATTCGAAGTGCAGTATAGTTTGCGATCGTAAGGTTATAATTTGCCTTAAAATATCAAAATGTAGACAGATGTTTCCTGTAGCCTGCCTTATCAGCAGTGGATGTATGCACGAAGTTGTGTAAAGTACAACAAGGAAAAGAATATATATTTTCTTCATTAGCATACGCCTCTCTGGTTTCGGTTATGTTAACTTTCAATTAAGGGACTTCGGTCAAAATCAGTCGATGTGATAATTTGCCGCGAGGACTTAACGAAATCGAATATTTTGAAATGTTTCCATTTCAGTCCGCTGTTGATCAGTTAATCACTTGATGGTAACAAAGTGTTCTTGTAAAAGTCGGAATTAAGCCACTTAGCTTTGTCACGTGGGCAACAGAGAGCAACAAAAAAGAAATTGGTCCTTCTAACGAAGAAAAAAATGGCGGAGTCAACGATATTTTGTTTTTCAATTCAAGTGCATGAAAAAACAACACGCTCGGGCTGCACGTGTTTTGTGTCGAAGTCTCTATAACGTTTTCCCACTTCGAGTGCCTTTCATCTCCATCGCCTTTGTTACGCGTCTTGTCTTTGAAGCACTAAAATAATCGGGCATTTTGTTCATCGTTTGTAAGAGGCTAGCAGATGGCTTGGCATATTAAAAGTATATATGGAATTGTTGTGAGTTGGTTAATTGCCGCTAGTGATATACTGTTGTTATATTGCAAATCCCGCGAATTTCACATTTTGGATCGGCGCCATCGAGTGGAGACATTGAAAAATAGCCGGAAAACTAACGCTGGTTAAAATCCGCAAAAATTGAGACGTAGAATTTATGTATGGCACACAGGACTTCACTCGAGAAGCCAGAGGTTTTGCGGACAAAAACCTAAATGATACAATAAGAGATACGCAGTGACAATCAATATGGTACGATGAGCGCTGCGTTTGTGATTCACTCGCCAGTGAAGGAGAGTCAGTCGTTACATTTCTTTATTGTCAAAACAAAGAGTGATAAACGGTAGCAAATGTTTCTTTTTCCTCCAAGTCATTTTAATTCGGCGGAGATAATTAGGCAGAAGAGGCAACGGAAAATTTTGCCTGCCCTTTCATACGGTTGAGAAATATTCTGTACGTGTTGTTTAGACAGAGTAAGTTCAGAGAAAGCAACCTAACCACCGCTAAGAAGAATTCTTACACGCGTAAACAATCCTAAAATGCTACTAGATATACCCGCCGTGTTTAAATATTATTTTAAGAATTACCAATTTTTAGTTTAAGTCATTCCGTAATCAAAAGAAACATAATTTAAATCTTACATCCTTAGATGTGTTCATATACTGTTTTAATTTGCAATTATGATAGCGGTTATTTTCTGTTAATGCTATGACAAAAAAGATTACCACCTAATTAACATAGTCATTGCTTGAAATACTTTGATCTTAATATGTAGATTTTCGTACGAAGCAAGTCGGCGAAGGCTAAAAAGAGAAAACTGGATTACATTCCACAGATCAGACGCTAATAGCAAACCATATGTCTTGATTTACTAAAGAAACTGAAAGCGATGCCATGGTAAATAAACTTCATAACAGTACGGTGTCCAGTCTTGTTTTAAACACATTCGCCATGAGTAACCAAGGTCTTGCGAAAGCCGTTTTCAAGCGGAAAGCTCAGATATTGACCAATCAGTCTTTCGTAGGTCACGTTGTCTTTAAGCCACCAGAATCGCAAGAAAACCTGGAATGAAATGTAAAAAAAAAAAAAAAAAGAAAGAAAATTAAAATTTCCTACGTGACATTAGTTGATTAACGTAGAAGTCAACTAAAACAAATGTGGAATCAGGCGAATAAAATAATTTCCTCTTTCTGATACTTGCTATGCTTTTTGAAATTTTACTTGTTTGGCGTCGAGAAACTAATCTGTTATACGTTGTTCAGATTATATATCCGTGGAATTCAGCTCCTTTTATTTGGTAACTAGAAAAATATCGATAGTAAACAATTCAAATCTAACTTTTCCTTTCCCAGGCGATATTTTTTTTTTCGAGTTTTGGCTTAAATACAACTCTAATAAAACAGCAATGTTAGAACGTGGTAACACCTTTTATCAGTCCATTCTTAAATAGCATGTTTCTTTACTAAAAGTGTAAATGAACTGAGCCGAGATCATTCTAAATGAGTTCAAACTAAGCAAAACGAAAAGACATCGAGAAATTCAGTCTTTGCCGCTCATAGTTTGATGTAGGACTAAAAAACGAAACCTAATGGATTGAAAGAATTGACTCTTGTAATATAAAGGAAATAGACCGAATTCTAAAATGGCTTTCTTACAGCGAAGTTTCCAACAATACCGTACTTTTAAATTACCAGCTTGCAAAAGAAAACATCAAATAGAAAACATACTTATCACAACTCAAAGAAGAGCATTTAGTTGCTGAGCCGAGATCAACAACCGCGCTTCTTTAGTTCATTTTAGAGTCATCACTTGAGAAACCAGAATCATCAGTTAAAGATACAGAAATCTTGATAAAATATGTCGTTAACATGTGGCAAGACACACCCTTTATTCACTTGACTAAATCAGTTCTTTTTCGAGGTCTTTCTCTTGACTTAAACTCTATGTATATCGTAATCGCTCTCCGAGACATTGTTTAGAGAAAATGTTTCAAATTGTTACATAATACAGAGAACACGTTGCGAGCTGCGACTGATGAAGCACAAATGAATTAATTGTTAACTGCACAGTGTCGTAAAACCACAAATACTTAAATAAATTGATGTTTTCATCTTTGCATTAATTGCATAGTTAAAACGCAAAACATCTGACTTCTCGTTTACAATTTTCTCGTTTCAAAAACCGATTTTCCACTCCCTCAGCGGAGAGTGAAATGCTTTGGGCATTAATTGACGAAAGTAGCGGGCAATGCAACGACGGCTAATGCGGTTTTTATGTTTTAAATTAAAGAGTGTTTTTTTTTAGCCTTTGATTTTCAACCTGTTTATGCTCGCCTACTGTCAATGTTCTTCTCACCAGGAACTCTGTGAGCTTTAGCCGCAGTAAACAGAAATGCTAAGACGTAATGAATCAACCTTTCCTCTATACCACTGTTGTTTTCACTGTATCATGAACACCACATGCCTCGTAGATCCGTGATGTGTGAAAACAAACTTTAAAAAGTTCTCCATCACTTTGGTTTTAATTGCACTCGATTCCTGCGTTTCTTTATTCACTATTCAAATCTCCTATAGTGTTGTTGTCGGCACATAAAAGAATGAAACGAAGAGATACTAATTCAAAACCTTTCCGAAATGACCGAGCGTACGCAACCAAATGAGTTCTTAAAAATAAAAGGAAAGTTTTGCGAAGGTGGGCAAGTTGAAAGAAATTATTTATTGCACCAGTAAACAGTCGGGAGGCTGATAAAAACCTCATTAAACGAAACAGTTGCGGCATAAGTTACCTAATGCATAAACAGACTACAGTTAAAGAATAGACACAATCAAGTGCTACTAATAACGCATAGTACCTGCCATTATTAATTAAGAACGGAATCATTTGACTTTTGAGAAACGCTCGATTCCTTTTGCTCTATTTATTTGCGTACGGCTTGTTAATAAACGTTGTTCGGATTATTGACACAAAACCAAACGATTTCTTGATGCCATGTTGCGTTTCGGAATACTCTTGGATGAGGAACGCGAAAGCAGAGAATGGTACTGTTTTGACCTTGACCCAAAATATTTACTTGCCTTTGCAAGAGGAAAAGATGAATGTTTTTCTTGAAAAGGACACCTGTATGAGACGGCGGGTTTATTCAAAAGAAAAGTAATAAGAGCTTGTAGAATGTCGAGAGCAATTAAATTTTTATTTAAAATACTGTTAGTTCGTGTTAGGTGGCTAAAAAAAAATATTGCGAGAAAACGACGTAATTATGCAACTGCCGTTTTGAATAGCGGGTGAAAAGACTATAATGTAACAAGATGGAACCGTTTTCATTAAAATTAATTATTTCTCTTCAAATTCTTAAACTGGTAAATGATATAAGTGTAGCAGAAAGGCTGAGGCGAGCGAAGATTTTTCTACACTAGAGCTGGAAAGAAATGCCAACCGAAACATTAAAAGGTCGTGCTCCGATCGTTTTCATTCTGAAAAAATTCTGAAAGAGACACCATCCCACGTGGCTTTTTTATCTTAGTAATTAGGAAGACTTATAGATTTAGTGATTTTGGCTGGTAGCCTAGTTCTTAAG